ACCACCACCCGGGGCCGGGGGCCTGGCGGAGCGCGGCGGCCGCAGCGCACCTCCCGCCCTCCATGGGCGCGTCCAACGGCGGCTTGCTCTACTCGCAGCCCAGCTTCACGGTGAACGGCATGCTGGGCGCCGGCGGGCAGCCGGCAGGGCTGCACCACCACGGCCTGCGGGACGCGCACGACGAGCCACACCACGCCGACCATCACCCGCACCCGCACTCGCACCCTCACCAGCAGCCGCCGCCGCCGCCTCCCCCGCAGGGCCCGCCTGGCCACCCCGGCGCGCACCACGACCCGCACTCGGACGAGGACACGCCGACCTCGGACGACCTGGAGCAGTTCGCCAAGCAGTTCAAGCAACGCCGGATCAAACTGGGATTTACCCAAGCGGACGTGGGCCTGGCGCTGGGCACCCTGTACGGCAACGTGTTCTCGCAGACCACCATCTGCAGGTTTGAGGCCCTGCAGCTGAGCTTCAAGAACATGTGCAAACTGAAGCCTTTGTTGAACAAGTGGTTGGAGGAAGCGGACTCGTCCTCGGGCAGCCCCACCAGCATAGACAAGATCGCAGCGCAGGGGCGCAAGCGGAAAAAGCGGACCTCCATCGAGGTGAGCGTCAAGGGGGCTCTGGAGAGCCATTTCCTCAAATGCCCCAAGCCCTCGGCCCAGGAGATCACCTCCCTGGCGGACAGCTTACAGCTGGAGAAGGAGGTGGTGAGAGTTTGGTTTTGTAACAGGAGACAGAAAGAGAAAAGGATGACCCCTCCTGGAGGGACTCTGCCGGGCGCCGAGGATGTGTACGGGGGGAGTAGGGACACGCCACCACACCACGGGGTGCAGACGCCCGTCCAGTGAACTCCAGCGTGGGGGAGGGGCAGAGCGCGGGGCTCCCCTCCCCTCCCGCCCACGGCCCCTTCTTGGCCCCCCTGTTCCCTCTCTAACTTCTGATTGTTCTTTTATTTTTAATAATTATTTCCCCGCCCCTTAAAAAGAAAAAAACAAATAAGGAAAAAAAGGAGAGCAGCTAAGGCACCGGACTATCCTTTAAGCGGTAGCAGGTGTTATATGTGTTGACCTTTACAGGCGAGTACCCGGGCGGCGAAGGAGCAGTGTCTCAGAGTGACAAGAGAGCGTGAGTGAGTTAGTTAGATGGCAAGCCAAGAGGAATACCTGGCCAAACGAAACAAATGACCAAAAAGAAGGGGGGTGGGGGGATATCCACCAAACCTTAATAAACACAAAACGCAGCTTCCCGGTGCTCCAGTTGGCACACACTGCCGTGTTTATTCAATGCGGATCCCCATCAGGAAAGAGGGAAAATGCACAGGCTGATGTAGGCAAAATTTAACTACATAAATTTGCACTGCAAGAAAATTGAAGTTTACATGTACAAATTCACGGACTCCCCCCCCCCTCTCCCTACAGTTTAATTTTGAAATGACTTTGTTGTTGTTTGATTCCGTGGACAGAGTTGGGCCGCTCTTGGCTGCTGCCTGTGCCTCCTGTTCTTGTACTGCCCCTTGTTCTTACTGTTGACGAACTTTGGTTGCCTTCAGAATCCCCCCTCCTCTTTACACTGGTGTAACCATTTATTTGCTCCTTTTACCAAAGCAAAAAAATCAAAACACAAAAGAACAAAACGATTGGCTTCATGCAAAATAAATAATTTTCTGCTTTCAAGAAATGTGCTTGTCTACCGCTTTTTCTGAGGCAAGAGTCCAGTTTGGAATATGAAAATGAGTCAGGCATTGTTTGTTATCAGCCACAAAGTAAACTTCATTTTCAGGCAGTGTTTTGGGGGGAGGGCTTGAAGGGGGGGGACAAAATGGATAGTGAAAGGCTGTTTCATTTTATTAGGTGGGCCCATTGTGAACGAGCTCAGCAGAACTAGGGAGGTAAAATAGATTTCCAGAGTTGTCCAAGAGAAAGAAAGTGGCACTTTGAAAACAACTAGGAAAATATATATCTTCAGACACCCCTGTATAGTTCTCTGCATTCAGTTTTAAACTTAATTATGAAGAATTATTTGTGCTGACAGAAGCAGTTTAACTTTGTTCCTCTAATAGTTGTTTCTTTTCTTTTCCTCTTCGACAAAAAGAAGCACCCAAGGTGTGTGCATAAACTGTGTTTCTGGGCACACAAGTACTCAAATAAGACAGCATACACAGAATATCTCCTCCACTCCGTGGTACAACCATTTTTTCTTCACTAGTTCATTTGTTTTCCAAATAATATTTAGGGGTCCTCATCCCCTTCTCCCATAATTTATTACAGAAAATACCAGTTTGACTCAGACAGCTTTACCACTACCCCTTTTTTCACCAGGGGACTTAAATGAAGTGGGGAAAATTGTCATTTTTCCCAACATTCTCTTTTTCCCCTTAATAGTTTTAATACTTTTTAATACTTTATTTTTTGGGGGGGGGGTAACTTTTCTTGAAAGAATATGCTTAATTCCTAAAAGAAAAGATTCTTCTTGGGAGTCCGAGGAAAATAATTTAATAGCTATTGAAAATAAATACCATGAAACTGCGACCAGTTAAAAAATTTTTCCTTAATCAACACAAAAGGGCACTCAAAAGAAAAACATTTTATTAAACTTCAGAGTTTGGAGCTTTCTTTCTGGTTAGGTATTAGGTAAAAGTTTTATTTAAGAAAAATTACATTCTCTTTACCTCCCATACAATTATGGACCAATGTCTGATTAGCATTGCACTCAGTAGTTAAGGTTTTAGTAAATATGCTTTATATTGTCTTTTCAAACACCTGTGATTGTTTCCTTTATAAAGTTTTTGCAAGATAAATGGTGACTTATACTGGGCATATTTATTGGCCTTTATTTCTTCTCCCCCCCCCCCCAAAGAATGTCAAGCAAGGATATGGGCACAGAGCTGCTTGGGGTGATTCATGCTGTTTATTCCCTGAGATGTGGGAAGTAGCCCTTAGAAGAAACCCAGAGCAGGGCAAATAGCCAATGGTAAAGGGAGGAAATGAATTTTCAGATACTATGACCAAGTGGGTAAGGTCAGATGCTGGAGTTTGGGGACATGTCTGTAGCTCCTCTAACTCTCAAAGATTTACTAGGTGAAAGTTACCACTGAACCTTACCACAATGTATATATGTTTAATATCTGTCTTTTGAAATGCAGAAATAGTTTAAATGTTTCTTTGTCTATTTTTTTCTTTTCTTTCTCTTTTTTTTTAATGCTACCCAGGGAAATATTTTCATATCATTTTTAAGTGGCCTGCCTCAATGTATATTTATTTCTTTTAAAGCAAAAAGGTTCTGGAAACTGTTTTTTTCTGTAGCTTTACATAAGTAAGTGAGCAAAAGCTATTTGGGATGTAATTTTTTTGTTCAGTCTCTTTAAAAAGTACTTTGTTTTGGTATATTTGGTTGTGCTTGTGGGGAAAAATAAAAACGCAGAGATCCTTATATATTTATGTTAAAGTAATATTTTATTATCTACATAAAACAGAAATGCACAATACCTTCATAGTTTGTTCTAATTATTGAAATATCTTTATTTTATTTTTAAAGATAGTGCCAAATTTTAAAGGGGAGAAAAAAAAACCTAGATCTTATACTGAGTTGAGTTATGTGTAAAACACTTCCTTGATACTTCATGAAGTTTTGGAATAAATTTTATGCATATACTGCCAGGTTTCATGTTTATAAATGTCAGAGGCTTTTTTTTTTAATGGATACTACTTTCTTGACTCACTTTTCTTTGCAAAAACTGTCAGCCCCAAGCCATTCAGTTGCATGCCTGAAGCATTCATGGTCATTGGGTTTGAGCTTCAGTTTACTTGCCATTTCATGGTCCCACAAAGGGATGTTTGTCCCTTTTAAATACATGCAAATATTCCCTGCCTCCTCTTTCTAGGTTAGTTTAACTTTATCCAAATGTGTCTCCCTTTCCCCCTGCCCCAGAGCATCCATGGAATAAGGTGGACTTTAATCGTTACCTCCAAGCCCTCACAAAATATAGAAAGACATGGCTTAGCTCAAGGGATTCTTCTTCTTAACAATGAACAAATACCTTTCAACAAAAGAATGACCCTGGCAATGTACAATCAGTATGTGAATTTACCAAGTTCTCTTTATGATGAAGTCATGGTGTATATAATCACATCTGTTTCTCAAACAGACTCTAAAAGAAGGAGGAAAAATATTTTTTAAAAGAGCATATGGAAGTTCTTTGCCGTTAATAGCAGGTTGGCGTTAATAACAAGTCCATGCCGTTAATTGCAGGTTGTTCCAGGAAGTCTTAGATAGGTCATGACACTTACCAAAATCAAGTTTAAGGTTAGTGAGAAAGCCAAGAAGTGTTAGGTGAGTTTACGAGTTTGCTGGTGTATGTAAAGTCTTCCTTGGAACACTGGTTTAATAAGTATAAATGTCTATCTTGAGAGGTAGTTCCTAGGCTTATTACATCTGATGATCTTTTCTAACTCCTAGTCAATATTACAAGGGTCCCAAAACAGATTCAGCCAAATGATCTTATCAATAGTCTGGACGGGAAGTGACAGAAAGAAGAAGTGTTTTGTGACCGCAGACATGCTGAAGGGTAAAATGTTTAAGCTGGGTATAGATTTGAGTTCTGGGTCAATAGCTTCCTCCATTGTAGGCAGAAAACAAGCAGCATCTGCCCTCTGCAGGGCATTTTAGAGGACCCTGAGAAGGCGGGTTTTGTTCTGGGCCACAGGACCCACGATGGAAAATCATTCCTTGTGAACTGGACACAAACTGGTTTTGACCCATACTTGCCTTTCAGTTCATAGGACTACTCGGGCAGTTTTGACACCAGTTTGAGGGAATGCATTACACCCTATGGTATTACACTATCACTGCCACGGGGAGAGATGTGTGAGACAGTCTTGCCTGAGATATTGGGTAGCCACAATGCAAAGAACTCTTCTTCCCTTAAAGATGAAAGTGCAGAACATGGCCACCCAGCAAGAGCTCCTGTTTCCTCAAAATGTGTCACTTTTTAAGTTTGTAATGTGAGGTGGGAGGGGAATGATCATTTGGGAAAGAGTTCCGGGAAGGCTGGTCACAAATAATATCATAGCTGGCACTTTACTTTTAAAACACCAAATAACCTCCTTTATATTTCAGATGACATCGACAAACGCCCTCTCCTCTTCTCCTTCCCTTCCTGATCCTCCCAGAGGTGGCTGGACACTGGCTGACAAATTTTCTGGCAAAAGCCCCCATAGATCCAGGCACTCGTCTTTCTTTCTGTTGGTTTCTCCCAAAGTAACATAGGGGTGGGGGCGGGGAGAATTCAACAGCAACTTTGGGGAGAAGGTGAATAGCATTTGGGTACATGGGTACCCACGGTGGTGTATTCAGATGCCTTTCCTTGGCCTGACCACAGAAGCAGCTTGGGTAGTGTTAGGGAGATGGGTGAGAGAAATTATCTTTTTTTGTTTTAATCACTGGTGGTGTCTTGGTAATATTTTCTGTTGACTTTTTAATCAATTCATAGAACTCTGTATCTATAATGATGCTGTTGGATTCTTACATAATTCTGTTAAAGACTGACAAAGAATGAAACTTATACAGAAAAAGGAAAAAAGGATGGTGTAGTGAAAGTCAAAGGTGAATGTGTTTCTTTGGGCTTGCTTGTGAATTGGGCTAGGGAACAGTACTTACTGAAAATGAAGGAAGGTGCATTTTAGGGTACTGTGGAGAACCAGGAATCTTGACAATATGGCTTAGTGATGAACAGTTTAAGTGTTACATATGTATGAATATTTTCCCTGTTCAAAAAAGTTAACTTTTTCATGAAACGTAGCTGTTTACAGGAGGGGAGTGGTAGGGGAGAAGCAGGGCTCCTTCTACCTAGTCCTAGCACTTTTTCCAGGACAGGAAATAATACAAAAGTGTCAGGAGCCTGCCACCCAGCTAGCAAATCATAGAATCAACTTCAGTTCATTGGCAGAATTCTGGTCAATGTTACTTCAACATCCCTAGGTAGAGGTGGGCCATTAAGAGATGTTCAGAAAATGACCCTTTAGTTTGCTTTAAGGTTTCGGTTGTTTATGGAACTAAAGAAACTATCAGGCTGTTTTTAACATTGTTCTGGTGTTTAGTGGAAAGCTAAGCCATTTTCTCCCTCACTAAAAAAAGTTCATTAACCTTATCATGCAGTACTCTCTCTTTCCCCTAATAACAACTCTGCTTGGCTTAGCTGTTAAGAGGTTTTGGAAACAGTATCATATCCCATCACAACCGCCCTGGCCTCTCTTTTTTCTTCTGTTCCTAAAATTCTGGCTGTCTAACATCATGATGTTTAGATGGTTATTTCGCTCACTCTTATATGGTATTGAATACCGCAGTAAAAGTGCATCTCTACCTTAAAGTTCATTCCCACCCCTCCATGAGTTTTTATAGCTCTCTGTTCAGGACTTGAAAAGAAAAACAGGAACAAAACAAAACCAAAAAATCTTCCATCTGCGGTTTTTGCACAAAGATCTCAGGGCGCTGGACCAGCCCTGTCCCAGGATGAGAAACTGCAATCTAGTATAGGTGGCCCACAAAGATGTACTTGTCGCTGGTTTTAGGACAACAGAGGAGCATTAAGACCCCTTAGGACAGTGGTTCTCAACCTTCCTCATGCGGTGACCCTTTCCTACAGTTCCTCATGTTGTGGTGACCCCCCAATCATAAAATTATTGCCATTGCTACTTCATTGCTGTAATTTTGCTACTGTTATGGATCAGGAGACACCCCACCCCCTGTGAAAAGGTTGTTCTACCCTGCACCCCACAGGTTGAGAATCACTGCCT